ACTTCAGCCAGGTCACGATCTCGCGGTCCGGGAGTTCGAGCCCCGCGTCGGGCTCTGGGCTGATGGCTCGGAGCCTGGAGCCTGTTTCCGATTCTGTGTCTCCCTCTCTCTCTGCCCCTCCCCTGTTCATGCTCTGTCTCTCTCTGTCCCAAATATAAATAAACGTTAAAAAAAAAAAAATTTAAAAAAAAAAAAAAAAAAAGAACTTGTCCTCAAAGAGCTTATGATTTAAAAGGACAGCTAAAACCTGCCCATAGCAAGACAGTAACATCAACTTTAGAAAGTGATTAATTTTATACCGGTTCCTCTGTATGGAATTTCTGTTAACAGTCGTTTCCAAATGTGGCTGCTTTAACTACTCGTTTTTAAATAACTAAAATAAAGATCTGGCAAATTGTTTTTAAATTCTTACATCTAAGTTTTTAATGGACTCTCTGCCCCAAGTTTTTTGTTTAATTATTTGACTTCATATCAGATTATAACAACTTACTAAAAAATACATTAAAAAAAGCACAAAACGTGGATACTGGGTTAATATTAGTAAAAAAATATATATATATATATATATATATGTATATGCATTAAAGAAATAAACTAGCTACTAACTAAGCAGTACAGCTGGAAACATGTTTTTGAATCTTGAAGACAAAGCTACTGAATTTCTTTGTTTTGGCATGGAACTCCGTACAAAATATTTTTTAGTAAAAATTTTTTGGATGGGAATTGAGAAGAGGAGAAAAAAAAAAAAGGAAACAATTATTGAAACCAAAAAAGGCCATCTTAAAAGAGGAAGCCGTGAATTATCCTGACATAAATTTTTAATCTCTGCCACACGGGCTTACTCCTAACTCAAAATCTTCTCTCCAAAACAATCATCGTACTAATAGCAATAAAATTCCAGCAAATTGCTGTATTGTGGTTGGCAGAATGTGTTTATGTTATTCTCAAAAGGACTCTGTCCACGCATATATTTATTTTTAAAGGCATGATTACAGTATTAACGTCAAGTATTCCTTCACGGTTCACTGGCTCAGAACATGTACCTGGTGTCATAACGTGATATTTCACTGGGGAATCCAGTAAAATCAGATCTTTCCAATAACTTCTCGCCTGATTGAAGTAAAATAGTATGCTCTCCTGGGACAGTCGGCCAGACACAATTGTCAAATCCCTTATAACTTCATGTTTATATCTCACCTTAAGTCCAGAAGGATTGGAGGCTGCTTTTCGCCTCACGTGCAGTTCCCACTAGATAGCTATAAAACAGGACCCTCTGAGGTCACTAAAGTATGCAACACTCCCATTTTAAAGAAGGGTTAGGTGTCCTTCAAGTCAGTTACTCGTACTTGATCCATTTATTTGAGAAATATTTATTGGCTGCCTATGAGCTAGGAACAGAAGCCCCAAAGGCTTTTTGGACGGGAACTGAAGAGAGGAAGAAGCATAAAGCATCTACTGTGAGCAGACGTAAGAGGCAGCCTTCGCAGAGTGGTAAGAGATACGGTAAGGGAAACTCAGGCTGCCACGGAAACCTGCAGGAAGAAAGGAGCAAGGAAGGCTTTCCAGACGGGGTGAGGTCTGAAGCTGAGACCCGAAGGACTAAGAGAAGTTTGCCACTAGAAGGGTGCACTCCTTCAATTAAGACCACCACCAAAAAGCCCCAGAGACGAATGGGCAAACAGTGTTTAAAGGCAGGGGGGCAGCCACGCTTGTCTAACGTGCCCCATGTGAGACGCAGCCGGAGGAAGGGGCATCAGAGGACACGAGGGAGCCACCGGACGACTGAGGGCAGTGGGGACGCGACACTGCACGATCGGAAAGCCCTCTCTGGCTACAGTGAGAATAATCATCAGGCAACAATGAGGGTGGCCTGAACAAAGATAAATGGGTAGACCGGAAGGGATGAAACGCATGGATGGATGAGGGAGGCGGCCGGGGAGAAGGAAGGAACCACCAAGTCAGGTCAGACAACAAGCTTCTGGTGGTAAAGGCTGGGGGGGTGGTGGGGGGGGGGGTTGTAGGAAGCAGCTTGGGTTCCAAGCTGGACAGGCTAAGAGTTGCTGGGAATTATTCAAGAGGCTGAAACATTCGATAAGCGGCTGGATTTGGGGACTGGAATGCAGCAAGGAACCACGGCTGGAGATGGAGATTTGGAAGCTATGTACACATACACATATATGAGAAGTGAAGCCACGAGACTAACTGAAATCTCCCAGAGACAGTGGAATGTTTCCAGGACAGAAACCCGATGGGTGTTCTAGCAACCGGGAGAAAACCCAGGAGGGAGAGCAGTGTTCAACACTTAGGGTAGAAAATGCTTTTAAAAAGCCCTGCCAATTGTGTGAATTACGGGGGGGAGGGGGCCTGCCAATTGAGGAAAAGACTGGCAAATGTCGAACTGCCTCGACGGTTAAGGAGGTGGGTTTTGTGACAAGGTGGAGCTGAACAATCCAAGGTGGCCGAGGAGGAGGAACCAGGAGTGGAAAAGGGCAGCCAGAAAGGAGCTTGCTTGACCATCAGAAGGGAAGAGACACAAGAGACAGAGGGCAGGGGATCGGAGGCTTGCAGGTTAAATGGAGAGAGGTGACGCAAGGGTTCGGACAGGAGGCAAGAAGAACAGGAACAGAGACGAGAAGCCTGTAGGCGGGCTGTCGGGAGGTGCAGGGATCTGGTCTGGTTCAGAATGGCAGAAGGCATGCACGGGTTGCTGACACACGGTCCGCACTCTGTACATTTCACCGGTTTGTGAAGACATGTGGTTCCTTTCCCTTCCCCACCTCCTCGCAGGTCTCTCCAGGCGTGTGAGCGGCACTGAAAATGGGACCTGATCTCAAGTGCCGCATTCCAAGAGGCAGGCTCTCAACTTCCTCAAAGCTAATCCTAAAACCGACTAAGCCCAACGCGTCCTCGGGACGAACGGCTGCCTCTAACGGAAGGTACCCACGCCGTGCCCGGCACATCCGCACGCACAGCCAGCTCAGGGCGGTGTCTTATGCTACTGTCCTAGGGCAAACAGCTCGAGTTAGTGTTAAATTTCATCATCCCACCACATCTTTCTCGGAGCTGTCTCCTCATCTTTTATTCCAGACCCAATGACTGTCGGATGTGCAAAATAAAGGTAGTTTAAAAAAAAAAAAAAAGAAAAAAGAAGGAATTTGGAAATGTGCCAAGATGATTACAGAAATCTCAGATGTGTAACAAATGAAAGCTCTGGGCTCCTTAGATCGAGGTCTGCTCCTGTTTTGGCATTTGTAAAGTCTGGTTTGGATGCCAAGAAAAAAAGACGTTTCCTAGAATCACCACAACGGGCGTGGAAAGGTAACAACAGGTAGTGTATTTATACAGTAGATTAACCAAGTACTGCCCCTTAAGAACTACTCAGTATTTGCAATGAATATTGTTATGACCCTCAAGTTGAGATGGTTATATAAGCAATGTGTTACTAAAGCCAAATATATTCTGTAAGTAGTTTTTCCATGAAGAGACACCGAATTAAGTGTAGTCAGACCAAATAGCATCTTTTTGCAGTGTGATCAATGCTCAGAGACAAGTTCGTACCATTTGGAGACAGCAGTGAGATAAAACATGTCAACCACATGCGCTGCTCAAATAAAACAGTGTAAATGAGACGACAAAGTCATTGTCAAAACACTTAATTTAACAAACTTTTCAAGGATCTAGTATATACTAATTACCAACCAACTCCTGTGTACTTTTTACACAGGCTCCCCAAGGAGAACTATTTGGTTTTATTGCCTTAAGTTAAAGCAGTGGAGATGTTTTTTTTAAAAGTATACTGTATCTGAACCCAATGGTGGATCATAGCGTCACGAAGAGAAACCAGCCCCCATTAGGTGCCTTGGGATTTGATACAAAAAGAATATAGCACCTATTCTTATCTAAAAATTCAACCGGGGTCTAATCAAATTTCTAAGAATTATGGGATAAAGAGAAGCAAATTAAGCAACGTCAAAAGGAAGCAATTACCCAAATCCAGAAACGGGGGTGACATATAAAGGATGTATAGTCCAATTTTTTAAACAAATCAATAGCACATTAGAAAAACAAAATTGAGGGAGAACTACTACAGAGTAAGAGATTTAAGTTACACAAAAACCAAGTGCAATGCACACTCCTTCTAGAACAATCCAACTTAGAAACCACCAGAAAAACATTACAAAATAATCTTGCTAGATTTATTAGGTCTAACAACGGGCATTTAAAAAATGCTTAGTAGCTGGAGACGTGTACTTACTATTTTAAACAGAATATAAATATTGCAACTCAGGGGCGCCTGGGTGGCTAAGTCGGTTAAGCGACCGACTTCGGCTCAGGTCATGATCTCGTGGTCCGTGAGTTCGAGCCCTGCGTCGGGCTCTGTGCTGACAGCTCAGAGCCTGGAGCCTGCTTCAGACCCTGTGTCTCCCTCTCTCTGACCCTCCCCCGTTCATGCTCTGTCTCTCTCTGTCTCAAAAATAAATAAACGTTTAAAAAAATAAATAAATATTGCAACTCAGATTTTTCATTGATTTTGAGGTATAAAGCCTCTCCTGTAGAATTTAAGGAAGGATGAGGTACCTCTTTCTCACTACCAAACTCTGCAAAGAATCACATTACGTCATACAAACACTCCTAACGGGGGCATCTGGGTCACTCCCGTTGATTAACCGACTCTTGGTTTTGGCTCCCGTTCATGATCTCATCGTTCGTGAGTTCCAGCCCCACTTCGGGCTCTGCGTTAAAAGCACGGAGCCTGCTTGGGATTTCTCTCCCCACCCCGCCCCCCGCCCCTCCTTGGCTTGCTCTCTCTCTCTCTCAAAAAATAAACATTAAAAAAGAAAACAAAACAAAGAACTCCTAACAGTTTTCAAAACATCGCTTTCTTTCTCTCCTCCTTTCTTCCTGGTTTGTTAATTCCTGGCAGAGCTGAGCTCCCAGGTGATGGGGGTCTGCCAGGCCCGTGCCCTTCCTCGCACTAACGGGGTGACCTCCGCTCTTACCTTCCCGTGCTCCTTTCTCACGTGGGAAATGTAAACATCTCTCTGCGTGAACAAGCGGCCACACTCCCAACACGTCCACCCGGGACTGGCCACCTTCTTGGGTTCCATGGATTTTTTCACAGGTGATGGAGACTTCTTTTCCAATTTCTCTTTCCCGTTCGTGGCTCTGGTATCCTCTTTGTTTTGATTTGCTGAATTTTGAGTTGCAGGCTTAATGCTCAAAGGCAAGTTTATACCCAAGTTTGGAGGCCCTTCAATACTTTTCAATGTTCCATGCATAGACTATGTTACAAAAAGAAAAGAAATATCTATCACAAATCGTTACCACTGAGAGAAAGCACGTGTGGACTATCTTAACACATTATAGATATTCCAATATGATGTTATATTCATTCAGAAACATTTCTTAATACAGGAAGAAGAAAACCGAAGTGAAATTCACACTTGAAAAGAGACAAAGGGGAATTAACTTTTACGGCTGCTCTAAGCGATGCATTTTTAGTTTCAAATAACTTCTGAAAGCCTGTGCCATTTTTAAATTCTTAAAAAAAAAAAAAAAAGCCTTCTGTATTGAGTCCAAATTATTCCTGGCTGCCTATCCTCCCCCAGGGAACCCGTGAGTCCTGTGCAACACGCTCTATCTGGGGAAGAACATCTTACTTTCACATCTATCCAGAAACGCGTGAAAAGGCTGACACCGGGGCAGGTATTCAAGACCCCCAGCCGATCACCTTTAACAAGACCCTGAGACCAGAACAAAGCCTTCTCCCTCCCTTTCGTACCTTCTGCATTCTTGGAACACTTGGAAGAGTTTGGGTTTTTGTTGGGGAGTTTCGGGGGTCATTTCAATCTCCCTACAGCCTACTCCGGTCTCTCTCTTCTTACCGATACCACCCAGGCTTGTGAACTGTCTACAGCAGATGCCGATACTCAAAAAGCCTCTTACAATTGCTTAGAGTGTTTATTATCATTCACGTAACAGCCACGACGGCTATCTGAACTTACGCTCGCAGGATTCCAATTTCTAATGGGGTAAACTTAGTGCCATCTGCGTCTAAAGATCAGCTTGCTTTGGTTTTTGTTTTGTGTTCTAGAAGCAGAGTTCCCCCTCACCAAACCCTCCCTGCCCCCCTCCAAAAAAGGAGGGTAATCAGTCTGTGCCTCAATGATGTAGGTAGGATTTATCTTTTGAACAGGGCCTCCTCACGTAGCCAGCATTCAGGCTTGTAGCTACTAGCCTCAGAGTCCTGAACCTGTAGAACCTACAGAAGGACACAACGTGACACACGTTTCCGAATGAGCCCGGGGTCTCCTACGTCCCGTGGACTCACACTGAATAGATCTCGGCTCCACAGTCTTTCTTGAGTGTTCAAGTAAGAAGGTGTTGCCTCAGCATGCTCTCCATCATAATTTCTCAGGAAAGCCTGCCTCTAAGCAGTGCCAAGAATTCACCAACCTTCGTCAGTACTGTCTTACCCCAGAAGGAAAAAGAGGGTCTGTCATCATGTCATGAGCAGGGGCCACACCGGTCTACCCAGAGGACACTTAAACTGGTCTCTCAAAAGGGCCTGGGAGGAATGTCTGATGTCCTTTGGCAAGAGAAAATCTGGGGCGAGACGTGATCTCTTGGTGGCCAAAAGGCTGTGCACTGGCTTTTTCAAAACAGAAGCCAGGTTTTTCATTTTTAACCATTTAAACCCCAAAGAAAGCAAACCTCAAAATTTTCTAGCAAATTTTTCATACGTTTCTAGGCAAATACATTTTTGACAAATGAAAGTTGAGGAGAGGGTGATGTATTAAAATATTCTTCTGAAAAAAAATAAAAAATAAAATAAAATAAAATAAAATAAAATAAAATAAAACAAAACAAAACAAAACAAAACAAAACAAAACAAAACATTCTTCTGTAAGCTGACCTTGCAGGGCTACAGAAATTACAGAAAAGCAGCCAAAAGTTCGGCTGTGCAATGAAATGTGTGCTAAAATGGAAATTTCTAATTCACTCATTTCATTTTCACATCACAAGTAAAAATAACATTGTTTGGTAAAAACAAGTATCTTTTTTTAATAAAAGAAATACAACTTAATTCTTAGAACTGACCTTTCCTTAGGTCCTGTAACCACAAATAACTTGAATGATTGTAACTTAGAATTTGCTTTAAATGTAAATGCCAACAAGTCTACACATGGGATCCTATGCAGTGAACAAATCTATGCTTTGGCAGAAGAAATGATACAAATTGGGGGTGCCTGGGTGGCTCAGTCGATTGGGCGTCCAACTCTGGCTCAGGTCATGATCTTGCGGTTCATGAGTTCAAGCCCCACATGGGGCTCTGTGCTGACAGCTTGGAGCCTGGAGCCTGCTTCAAGTTCTGTGTCTCCTTCCCTCCCCTGCCACCTCTGTTTCTCCCTTGCTGGCACTCTGTCTCTCTGTCTCTCTCTCTCTCAAAAATAAAGATTAACAAAAATATTAAAAAAAAAAAAAGAAATGATACGAGTTGGATTAAATTAGGCAAATAAAGATCTACCTTTACATGAACATGTACGTGGGGAAACACTGTTCCTCTCCTTTCTCTGAATTCTTTCCTTGTGAAAAACTGAACAGCACAGCTAGCGATATAAATAAAGTCACAAGAACTGGTGTAGATCTTAAAAATAAAACACAAAAATAGGGGGCCCCTAAACCTTTATCTTTATTCTCACCCATCCCCAAACACATAAAGAAAGGCAGGGTATTTTAAATGTATGGAACATACTTGAAATGAGAACATAAGTGAGTATTCCCACTGTTTTCGTATCATGTAGTCTTAAAAGGGTTCAGGTGAATAAAAACAATTCTTTCGTCCTTGTGGCCATGGGATTTGCCACTCCTCTTCAGTCTCTATTTCTTGGAACCTTGTATGCCTCCAAATTCACTATTAACACAAGGAAGACCCTAACCACAAAGTCGATGACCCCACTTTCCAGATGTTGTGGGTTTTTTTTTCCCCTGGTCATTCACTAAATAAATATTTGTTGTCAAGACGGTTTTGTAATTTTAGTGAAAACCTTTGAAGTAACTGAAGAGGATTTTACTGCACTTCAAGCGATGATCAGGAAACCTAACTCCCATGCATTGATTCACCCTAGTAATGCCCCCGTGCCACCCTCTTCTCCCGGCTGCCAACCAGCAGACCCTCTGAGACGTTAGGTTCTTTGCAGTAGGCAGTTACACTATGTGAGCGCACATAGGCTCAACACGGGAAATTTCAAGGATTAACGGTCCATTCATCTAACTACGATGAGACTAGATTAATTCAGAGACCTTCATCTGCTCTTGAAACTGACCTTTCTCGTATAATATATTAAAAAAGAGAAGAACTAAGAGAAAGAGAGATGGAGTTAATGATGCTGGGCCTGTTATTTTCTCTTTTTAAAGAGTCAAGTCCCTTTAAGCTCTGAGGGCTGCTGGATATTATCTCCTAATCACATGGGAATAAAACTGCTTATCCCATCACAGTGGGCAGTTAAGAGACTAGGACTCAAGCTCTGTCCATCATGAGCTTAAAAGGCTGTGAAGAGATTTAGGCGCCCCTTTTGGGTGTTGGGGGTGGGTTATCCAAACTGGACATTTATTTCGTTAACTGAACACTCACCAGGGACCAGACACTGTGCTGTACCCAGCACATTTCACTGTCAATTTACATGCAACCTTGATAGAAAAAAAAAAAAAAAAAAAAAGACTAAAAGATCCAGGGGCATCCATTATCATGCAAATTTAACTGCTTAAATAATCTCAAGGGAAGACCCTCTTTTTCCTAAATACACCGGTATCTGTAACGAATTAACACAATTCGCCAGAGTCCTTGTCTATTTCTAAAGCCTGTACAAGACGGACTTCTCAAAGAAAAGTAAACTGCATCATCATCATTTTCACATGTAGGACAAAAAAAAAGAACCCTAATACTTTATTTTTCTCTTAGAACCCCAGGGCATTCATCTGTTACTCTACGTTGATCTTTCATGGTGACCCAGATCAGGACTCAGGAATAAGCAGCGTCAGTCAAGCGAACGTCTGACGGCCGCATTCTGTAAACTGCTCAGTACCAACATCAGTACCCTTCCCTTCCCTCAACAGCATGCAGCTTCCTCGGCATCTACAGCTCAGCCTTGACTCGTGATCAATGAATGTGGGTCTGCAATGCACTTAACGGACACGAGAGATGCGCACACACCTTGATATGGTCCATCATGAGTTGCTTCTGTGCATATAAAAGGGAACAGTCGGGACACTTGAAAACAGACACCTTCTGGTTTTCGATGTGTTGGTCAAAGTGGCGATACAGCAGGGTTTGCAGGGTAAACACAGTGTCGCACATGGAACACTTATAAATTATTCTAAAACAGAAGAAGTGTGTGGACAGGTCAGTCAGCCCTCAACTCCGAAGCCGAGGGAACTGTTACTTTACATCTCAAGGGGGCAGAGGCAGTGAGAACACGTAAACACGGTAAAAAGAACAAAAACAGTTTAGCTTTGAAACAAACTTCTGAAGGCAACTGGCATCACTCAAGCGCAGACCAATCTTCACAGCTTGAGTAAAGGTGCATTCAACCGCCTTTGCAGTGAAGTCTCAATTAATGACCATTTTGTTACTTACACATCTACATCTGACACTTGTTTTGTTTTTTACAGGATCTTCGCTTGTTCGTTATTTTAACACAGAGCAAAAGAACTCTTGATTTTTTTTTTTCAAGTATTCTTTAAGATAGGACCAGGAACACAGCTGGATGGCGGTCCCCTAACTTGATAAAGAATTTTGTTAATGAACTTAAGTCGGGCTGTTCAGCTCTGATGCTTGCATAAGCTGTTACTTGCCCCGAGTTTTCTTTTCGAGTTCGTAACAATTTTACACTGAAATCGCAGTATTTCTCTACGTGTTCCTCATAAGGAAAGCCCTATGCCAGTAAACAATTAGACACCAAAAAAAAAAAAAAAGGAAAGAAACAGAAAAGAAAATCCATACCACAGTTGCTTCAACACTTGAATGTCTGCTGTGTTTAAAATGGTTTAGAACACGGTCTACTACGAACCATTTCTGTACCTTTCTGCCAAGCAACCTCCTTAAAACCTAATTCGTTATACCCGAAGCTTCTGAACATAATCCCCTCTATCCATCAACACCTTCCACTGAAGCTCAGGCAGGAGGGAAAGTAGTAGACTCCCCCGCTACCAAACCTCTGCCTCCAGGGGCTCTCCTGGTGGTTCATGAACATATGTGTCCAGGATGGGTCACCTTTGTTCAGTGACTGTTCCAGGCCTCCCTGGTCCTCAGGGGAGGCCCCAGGGACCCCTGTTCCGCCTTGGAAGGAGAATGGCGAGAAGAACAAAGAATCCTCGGAGCTTAGGAAAATGGCAGAGAAACACTGACGCAAGGGACAAGTCAGAGAGGAAAAAAGCCACGTGGTGCTTCCGTTTGCTATTTCTACAGCACAGCAAAGAAACGCATGCCTCTGGAAACCCCATGTCTTTCCTCTCAGGGTCTTCTCAAGAAAGCACTTCTGGCTTCGTGGTTCTATCAAAACATTACAGATGTAACTTTTTTGCCCCTTTTTTCCACATAAATTTGTAAGTTTAATTGGATTGAGCGGCACGGCTTTTCCAAGGTCTCGACATATTAGTAATTTAACGCAGATCACGAGCACATGTGACTGGGGAGGGGAGGGATGTTCTTGTTTGTCCGTTTGTTTTTAGGACGTCGTGACCTCGCCACACACTCGAAGGAGGCACACAAGTGATGTTGTCATCATTAACTTGACCAAGTGTGACAAGGATGTTCATTTCCTCACTATTTAAAATCGCTCAGAATTGAAAGCAGCCCCAACATCTGGTAATATTAAGTACTGAAGTCAGAGCAACTATGTGATTTTTTAAGAAGTATGCTATGGACGTATACCAATGACCAGAAAGACTTTCGTGAAAATGAACACAATACGTAACAAGGCAATATGTACGATATGACCACATCTTTCTAAGGGCACAGAAAAGAAGCAGAAGGTTATAGAACTGTCATCTCTGCGGGATGGTATTACAGGTTTTCTTACTGTTTTCCTGGTCTGTACTTCTCGGTTTTTCTGTTATTAGCATAGAGCAGTAAGAAGAAAAGAATAGCCTCAGGAAGAGAATGAAAATTTACTAGCTAGGCTAAGAGAGGTTTCCTCAGGATTCTATTCTTACATTTTCAGAAATAACTATTTCATGAAAAATGGCATGGTTCCTTCTATTCGTGCCACATTCCTCTGGGGAGGGGTTTTTGTTTGCTTTGATTTTTTATGCTCTCTACCGCAGAGCAAAGAAAAGTATGAGAGAGGAGATCAACTATTTACCTAGGCATTTTTCTGGGGAACAGTTTGCCGGTAGAATACCGGGACACCGCCCCACAAACTGCTAACTCGTATGAAGGGGGAGGTGATGGCTTTCTAGAGGAGAGATCTGGCGGACACCCACTTGGCCAGATGATGAAGTCAGAACTTCCACGGGAAGCGCAGACAGGCAGCATGTGTCTCTGATATAACACAATGAGGAGCTTCCTGCCAGGAGGACGTGTCCCGAGTCCAGCTACAAGAAGGCCGTGACGGACGGAGGTCATCCCAAGAACGAAAGGCCAGTGTCCTCTTTTGGATGACCAAAGACAGGAGAGGCAGGGAAAGAGCAAGCAACTGTTCCAGAGGGAAGAACGAGACAGGACCGTTAAATGCAGAACAAGCTTCTGGATAGGATTTTGAACCTGAGCCAAATGAAAAAAAAAAAAAAAGATATTTTCTCATTTATTAGAGAAATTGTAATGGGGTCTAAGCACTGGGCAGGAATGAGCCCAACACTGATTTCTGATTGGGACGGCTAAATGGTGGGGACATCCCTGGCTGTCCTTTTTGGGAGGAGAGGCAGAACACCGATATTTATGTCATGCTGCCCATTATTCCTGAACACGAGAAAAAGAGACTCGGGGAGAACGAGACAGTGGAGTAATATTAAACGTCGTGAATGCTGACAATTAGGGAATGTGGGGGGGGGGGGCGGCCCGTCAGAGTCTCTATAGAGTCCTTCCAACTTTTGCGTAGGACAGAAACTAAAAAACGCTCAAATGGTGCTCGTGTTAAAAAGAAAAACAAAGCCCAAATAAACGAGCCTCATTGACACAGAGTTAGACCACGACGATCCCGACTGACAATGGAAGAAAACCACAGGGGACAGCCAGGCCGGGGAGGGAAGGTAGTCGGGCAAATGTGTGGGTAGAGCATGGTGAGGGAACAGACAGAATCATAGCGTGGCTGGATTCCCAGGCTGTGGGGCCGGCGGCGGAGGTCCTACAGGGTCGTAATGGGCTCTGAGAGCCAAACTTCCAAGCGTGACTGAATCCTACCCTGGTGGCAGGACTGAGGGAACGGTCGGATATGATAACCAGGCCAGGGGGTGGGGTGGCATGGAACCGAAGAGAAGTGGGGAGGGCAGCGGAAGGGGTTAAAAAGAACTAGAAGGCTAAAAGCAAATACCCACGCTCAGGTCCAACCCACAGCCTGCTCCCCTTGAAACCGGGTGCTACCCTTGAAACACATGCAACAACAAATGGAATGAAACATCCCCAGCTCTGAAATCACCACCACAAACCTCCTCCTTTACTGCCACTGACTAAGCGCCAAGCACTGTCCTGAGCAACACCTGACAGTGTCCACCCCTTCCACAGGCGAACCACAGATGGGCACAGAGAGATGGGAGGATCTGCTCGATGCTGCACAAAGCCTAGGGCCCCGGTTCAAACTCAGCACTGTCGGACCCCAAAGCCCTCCGCCCAGTGGCGACCACAACTTTGCACGTGCTTTATTTCGTAGGGCCCTGTTCAGAAACTCTGTCTCTTATGTAATTAAGTGTAATTAAAGTGACTGAAAAGCAAGAAACAAACACAGGAACAGCAAGCACCTGGCATCTGAGAAATACTACATAAACGTTACATAAAACAATTTTTTTAAATAAACAAACTCTCGCATTGTCCTTTTCAATTTGAGCTGCTGGGACTGCAGGGCTTTATGAGTGCGTTTTCAGACCTCCACATATTCTCTAAAGGAAATGGGGGAGTGGAGTATTTTTATACTGATCTTTTAAGTTAATGCACATCACTTGCATAATGATGAGTCACTTGCATAATTGCCTGTTAACCAAAGACTGCTAAGGGATTTCGATGCCTGAGGTCCCAACGCAGTCAGGGCTACTGATTTGGGGGGGCTGCCCTGAGATGCAGGGCAGAGATGGGTTTAATGTCAAAAGGAAGCTTCCGAGTCAAGTGTAGGCCGGACAGCATTCCAGCAGGCCGCAGGAAGGAAGGTTTTCCAAGAGCCTGAACTGGGAGAGGCGGCAGGCAAGAGGGATCTCAGGGCACGCTGTGGTCCAGTCGTGACCAACAAAGATAGAAAGAGCCCGAGAAGCGGCACCTGGTACCACAGCCAAGCCGCAGGGAAGGACGCACTCCAGCCAAGCACCATGGTCACCTTGAATCAATGAAGTTAAGTTAAAGTTCACTGCTTTGGCAGTTTTGTCGTATTTCACTTATAATTTATTTATTCATTTTTTTAGCTTTATAGTTTAAAACATAGTAGTCCATGCCTATCTTTAGGCTTGGCACTTATTAAGGAACCACTATAGTGAAAATAATTTTAGGACAATACCGGAATAATTTTTTCCTACGCGTTCCTCAAATTTGAAAAATGCTGTTTTGGTGTATGTTAAAGATTTGCTGCCCTGTATTCCCAGGTAACAACTACTATTCCAGATTTCGGTGAAGTTTGATTTATTTGAAGAAAGAACCAAATTAAAAAAAAAAACCTATTAACTGGGGGCAAGATACTGCTTTAGTGTCCAGAAGCCTTACTACCACGAACACCAAAGACTGTTTTACTAGAACTCACTGAAGTGCGTCTTCAGGGTCAAGACACCAAGTGCTACGTGGATCTCCCAATCTGCACTTTGAGGATCCACAGAGATCAGAGCGAAGGTCCCACTAGAACAGAATCCCATTTTATCGTAGTTCTTTTAGCAAACAGACTCATTCCTGCAGCGTCCAGTCATTAATATCTCCCCCAAACTAAAGGTTACAATGCAAGCCAGACATATATGACATGGAATATCCACATCTTCCCTCCAAGCTTTCCTGGACTGTGGATGGGGTGAAACCCACCAATAGCCTGGGGCAGCAAATTTAGCCTCACGTCACGATCAGATGCCACACTGCCATAAATAATACTGGAATAAAGGAGCCTGGCCAAGAGCAGCTAATCCAGTGCTGTGTACATGACAAAGAGGAAATGTGGAAAGGACCAGTGCTACTGAGCCCCCTCTGTGCTCCAGACAGAGGGACTGTGTGCCATGCATCTTAAATGTCACCTCCTCTCTGCCTCACACAAGCTCTGGGATGGAACGCTACCCTCACTTTACAGGGGAGAAAATGGAAGTTGAAACAGAGCCCGTGATGGTCCCAGATCTCACAGCTGGTGGGGGGGTGGCAGGACTCTGCGTCCAAGGCCCACGTTCCCTCCTCTCTGTTAAGCTGCCTGTAACGCAGGCAGGCAGCCCTCGTCTGCTGAAGCAGACGCTTCGTCCTTAAAGACTCAATAAAGCAAAAACTACAAAATAAGAAGCAAGATTAAAAGGCAAACATGAAGTTTATTTTTATGAATCAAGGACTTATACTGGCTGTGAAGTTAAATTCAGTAACCAGTGTTTTAAACGGACTTCGTATTATGAATGTTAGGATGAAAAGCGTGTCCCTATGAGAAACCGTGTCAAAATGGAAAGACCGCGTTTTACAGTTCCCCAAGAAGTTAGTTGTTAAACTCGTCGTAAGCCAAAGAGCAAAAATTGATAAATATTCACCTGCTTCGTAAAAAAAAAAAAAAAACAAACTGAAGACGAGAGCATAAATAATAGGTAACATTTTCCTCTGGACAGAGGCTTCACCTGGGAAGAGCTGAACGGGTTAGGTAGCGATGAGCTACGAGCGGCGCCTCGCGGAGCATCGGAATCTGCGCGGTGGCCTAAGTCTTCATCTCTTTGAGTTTTCTTCCACAGAACTACTCCTTCCTCTAAGTCGCTAGGTAAAGCAGTGGCATAAAAGTCAGAAGGCAACAGGACTTACTTTGGCTCTCCTATCTTGACGCCAGGATGCTGTGTGTAGGCATGGGAATGTGTGCTTGGGGCAGACTTAAACGCCATGGGACAAATAGGACACTTGTAGAAGACTTCACAGTGAGAGCCCTGGATGTGAGACTTCAGAGCGGCCACGTCAGAGTACACGACATTGCAATGGACACACCTGCCAGGAAAACAAACACGCGGTCGTCAGCACGGGACCCTCACACATGTGCACCTTCGCTGTAAAAGTCAGGTAAAATGAGCATGGTTTAATGGCCTCTTTATGGTTTCTAATGGCTTTTTGGAAGTAAGCTTTGGGGTTTTTTTCTATTAATAACAGATCAAATTATTTTTATAGATTTAAGAAAGAAGATAGTGAAGAAGAAAAAATAAAACTCAAACGGTCTGATTCTTGGGCATCTTTAAATTTTTTGGGAATAAATACCCGAACTCCGGACTGTGAAGACCGATGGATCATGGGGGCTGTATCGGGGCCAATGGACATGGCAAGACCTTACGACCTGTGACCCTGGAGAATACTCCCACGTGCTAGATTCTCACACCAGGCCCTGAGGTTCCTAACCAATGGCATTTCCAATGGAAGAAATCTTCACTGCCTCAACCTACGTGCCATCAACGGAGGGGCGGAGAGAATAAATCAGTACTGGCATCGAAGCCATAGCCACTGTCTCCTGGTGCACAGTGATGTGGTCAATGTGTCTGGAGGTTAAGGGAGCCTGTGGGGCAGAGAAAGTTAACCACCTAGGTTGTTTATCTCCTGGAAAATAAGTTCAAGCACACTTACTTACATTTGTCTAAGAAATAACATGAATTATAAACTTCCGACAAGTCAACATCACTAAATGAATTCCTCTCCAGTTAACTCCCTGACTTCTTGAGTGTGTAATAATTGGATTAGCTCAAGAACTGATCACATCTAGTCCCACAGAAACCAGCTCTGACACTTAAGATACGTTTCCCCCCAACCTCATCTTTCTTGTGCAGGGACTCTCAACAACACTTACAGACACATCCATTTGATGACCTCACCATCCTTTGTTCACGCCTGAAAACTACTTGAGGGTAGGGTCTGTGGCGACAAACCTGTAGTGCACCCGAGCGGACACGCTCCTGGAAGTGAAGGTGGGAGCTGGCTTCAGGAACGAGGACTGTGGACAGGGCCTGCCTTCCAGCGGGCAGGGCTTGATCATTTCTGCGTTAGTCTCAGGTACTTCCATCCTTGGAACCTCCCTCCTGAATTCATGGGGGTGCCAAAGTCACACAGGACTGGCCTTATTTGAAGCATGTGGGTTCTATAAAGGGTGCCATGTTAAGCTTCGCAAGCATTTCATACAAATCGTAATTAACGCATTCGCGTTTTAAATGACTTAAGGCGTAATGTTTGGCAACCCATATATTAAAGATACTAAATAATAATAGAATAATTAAGAAAGCTCTGTTATCTTATCTACTTGAACTACTACTTTCAGCATTAAAGCCATCCAACAACACTGAAATTATTTTGGGTTAGACTGAACTTGTGTTGTCTTGAACAGGCTACTGATCTCTGGGCAAATGTCTCATTTGTAAAATGAGAAGAGTTGAAACTCAAGCACTTTTTAGTTCTTCCCGACCCTGGAAGCCTAGGATTCCTACGAAAGAGGAAGATCACATAAAACAAAAATGGGTTCCTAATGTAACAGGAGGATCCTCTACATCAGCATCATAAACAGAAAAACTTTCCCATCAAGGGTAGGAAGGTGGTGTTCAAAGAGTAGAGACCCAGGAAGGGGAAAAAGAAACAAATTCTCGACATTCTCTCAAGTCGCCTGGACCAGAAGATTTGATCTTGGAGAAAACAAGCAGGAAGCTAAAGGATCTAGACAACAGTTGAAGGAGAAGTAGCTAAGGCATGGTAAAAAAAAAAGCATCAGGGAGTCCACGGAAAAACCCTCATCACCATGAGGAAAGAAAGCAGAGAATTTAAAAACAAAGCTAGAAGAGAAAGAGTTGTAGAATACCTGCTGACAGGTGCAAGAAAAGTTTCAGGGGCTACAGAGGCCAATTGGGAATGGAAATGAGACAGAGAAATAGAAGACAGAATTTGTAGAGTTCATACAGTATCTTAATGCTACTAAAAATCCAGCCTATAAATAAATATTTCATATACCCGAGGTCCTCTGTGTTCTAGGTACCAATCAAGTTTCTTTATGTAAAAAAAAATATACATTTCTTTTATTCTTAAAAATCTTTTTTAATGTTTATTTATTTTTGACAGAGAGAGAGAGAGAGAGAGAGAGAGAGAGAGACTCTGACAGACAGACAGAGCATGAACGGTGAGGGGCAGAGAGAGGAGGAGACACAGAATCCGAAGCAGGCTCCAGGCTCTGAGCTGTCAGCACAGAGCCCCATGCGGGGCTCGAACTCACCAACTGTGAGATCATGACCTGAGCTGAAGTCGGACGCTTAACCGACTGAGCCACCCAGATGCCCCCCACAAAAAAAATTTTTTTAACGTTTACAGTATACAGTCCTATAAACCCCCTTTCGAGATCCCCTCGATCCAATGGATCAAGAAGTAGGAAAATTCATAGAAACACTGGAGTTTTACCAAATCAACCAGGAGTTGGGAGTGACCCACTCAGTACCTGGGAGATACAATATACCTAATAACAAGGCACACTGAGTCACAGAGGCAAGGGAGGCCGGGGAGCCATGCTGAACTTCTCTGGCCAAAGAAAAATCAAATGGAAAATGATGAAGTGCAGAGTCAAAAAGGAGGGGGGAGCCATAACAAGGCCAAGGGGCTGCTAAGTCCCTATCAAGTATTAGGCTGGACGGTTACTTGAAATAGCAGGAAAAAACAAAAAACAAAAAACAAGGTTAATTTTTTTTCTCCCACCTAAAGAGGTAAACGTGAACTAAGCAGAGTACACACGTGGTCATATCTTCACAGCCTCATGTCCAAGAAAAAAAACCTGTCTTAAACACAAAAGTCTTAGAAATTCCAAGTGCCAAATTTAAGTAACTCTGTGAATGGGGCGGGGGCAGGACGCAAGGGATGGGCTTTTCCGACTGAGCTGATGACTTTTGGCCTGACTGCACAGCTTGTTTTAATTTAGGAAAGACACCAGGAATAGCGAGAAATGCAGAAGTCCTACTTCCTCTATTCATTCCAGCCCAAGTTTACTTTCATTCTACTGGAAAAATAAACATTTGAGGAAAAGTCTGGCATCTTTTTGAGAGAATAGCACGGAGACGATGTGGCAGAACTGCTTTCCGTTGCTAAACAAAGAACCCAGCGATAATCGTTTCAAACCATGGGGTGAGAACCAAAGCATCGCTGCGTGTGGGTTCTGTGGAGTCAAGGGCACCTGCGATGTGTGACTTTCCTCCCAGGCACTGAAAACACGCATTCGGATTATCCTGTTGTACTCGGTCACACCCCAGCGGAGACGGACCTCGGACAGCACACTGAGGTTATAGACAGAGGCACCATGGCATGGGGAGAATACATGAATTGCCATAAAATTAGTGGCTAAACTGGCATACACACAAAAAAAAAAAAAACCAAAAAACAAAAAAACTCTAGTTCCGTAATTTTCAAACCAAACGCTTCCTACTCGGGTAGATCCCAATGCATCAGGCAGGTGTGCTTCACAGGTTTGGAGGCAGGAGGTAAAAATGGGCACAAAGTCTCTGTTAGCGTCAGAAAAAAGCACAGAGCACCGAGGAACCGCTGATCCTGTACCCTAAGTGTCACTGAAATAAAGCCATCAAATTATACCGACTAGACTTCATTTTTATAAAATATCATAACTGCGTTATAACTAAAAGATATCACTGTGTATTAACAGTCTAACGTTAAAGTGACAGGCAACCAAACGCTTAACACACAGTACAGTAATACCTCTATTAACAAAGACACTGTGTATGAGTAACCTGTTCTCTGGGCTGACCTTTGTTGGGTCGAAATATAAAAGGCACAGGAATGTGTTTCGGAAGGTCACAGAGCAGAAGATAAAGTTCAAGCTCATCGTCACTCAATACCAGCTAAATGAACATGAGATTTGCCAGACGTTGTAAAAGACGAATCTGAGAGTCTCAGGGGGGCGGTGAAAAGGGCCATAGCTAAGATGTACACAGACGAGGGAAACAGCCCAGACTTGGGGAATGGGGAAAAAGGGATACAGGGAGGTTGTCTGGGGCCTGGGGTGGAAGGTTCTTCCACAAAGAGCAAAGTGAGGAAAGGACAAACACCGAACCCTTGGACATGATGAAATACAAGTAAGGGACCATGCACCCTTTGTGTTCTGATCAGAGGAGACGTGTTAAGAGGCAGAGAGATGCATGGTACCCTTACAGGGGTTAAAATGCACAGAGCGTGACCACAGAGGGATGCTGGAAAGGGTGCAGGAAGAAAAAGCCCGAACAGGTCATCAAAGCCAAACCTGGCCCCATGCACGGTTTGGGCTGGAAGGACAGGCTCCGTTTACCCTCAGCTCTGGGGGGACCGGAGGGCCAATACCGCAAGGATTCGAAAGGATCAACTCGACCACCAACAAACTAGGCTCCCAGGGGATCTGTTAATTGAGGTATCACTGTGTGACCCCGAAAACCGTGCGCACAGACCATTCGCGACGCTGTGCGGTTACAGGTGAACAGGCTTTACTTGCACGGAAGCAAACGATATACTGACCGAAAACCAACTCTCCGCGTGTAGTGCAGACAGTTCTTGGTGACGTGGCTCTGGAAGTGCACCGACCTGCAGATGGCCCCGCACTCGGGGCAGGTGTAGGGAGATTTGTGCTGATGGATTCTCTGGTGTGATGCGTAACTGCACTGGTTAGGAAGCAGCATCTGGCAGACAGTGCAAGTCTTCTAGATAAACCAAAGGGGGAGACAGGGTTGGTCCTACGAAGTATTTGCTAATAGGCAAAGCAGCTCGGTTACACCCCACAACAACTGCACGTGGCTCGTTTCAAATGCTGCTATCACGGATTCCAAGTCCCAGGAAACCGCAAACTGAGAAGTTAAAACCTTCAACGTAACGGCCCTTACCCCGTGCAATCAAAATGATACTGTGCTGCACGGTCAGGGTCATCCCAAAGCATGAGGTTAAGAGAACGGCAGCTTCGGGGAGACTTCCAATTTTGTTACGTTTGCATTTTGTTTATTTAGTGCACAGAAGGGGTATTAGAGGAGATATTCTTGCAAATTACCGTAGCAAATCAACTTTAATGTATAATTACACGTTGACAGGCATCTATCTATCTCCACAGTAGCCAGTTCCCACAACTCATAAGAACTTTCTCCAGAATAATAAAAAATTAATTAGAGACTAATCCCGTTTTTTTTCTTCCTTTCTTTCTTTCTCCCCCATCACTTCTGTTATCTGAAATCTAAAATACAGAAATGCAAAAGCATGGCCACAGCAATTAGTTGGGTTTTTTTTCCACTTGAATTGGTCTTTCAATGGACGAGCTGGACATTAGAGGATTTATAATTCAAAGCAGCGAACTCAAATTCAGAGACATAAATTTAGACATTAAACTGAACCTTTATAGAGCTTAAAATCTAATCACACAGGACATCAAGACAGAAATGCTCTTTGGAAAAGACCCCACATTTAACTAACCAGGAAAAACTGAAACACGCTGTTTTTTATCCTGTTCGATGTAAGTGGTAAACATGGCATATTTTTAAAACCCCAAAACAGAAAACTTAAGGTAAATATAAAGGGTCCACTCCAAAAATAAACCTACCATAGCAGGAGGTAAAATGTGTTTAAATTCCACTTAGCCATTCATGCAACAGGTACCTACGACCTTCCAAAATGCCCAATTGGTACTAAAGCCCGTTACAGAAAGCCTCATAATACAGACTCCAGCTAAGACTCAAAATGATCTTTTAAACTGATGACAGCGTTGTAAAATTTTAAGAAGACTTTTTCTTTTAAGCCTTTGACTCAAGCCCCCCAAAATTAAGGTTTACACTTCTGAGCAATTGAAACTACGGAAAACCAGAAAACTCACTTGAACATTCTGTCTGGGTCTCCTCCTGAAAGGACTAAAATACAAACTTTATCCCACAAAATGTTTATTATAATCACAAAGTAAGAACATTACAGGCAGCTTTGAGGAGGTTAGCGTCATTTAAAAATAGTGTTCCTTTTCTAATAACACATAGAGCAAAGGTGAAAACAAGCCACAGCAAGGGAAACCAATTCACAGCTTCATGCATTAGAAGATCCTGGTGCCGTCTACATTATCACAGGTAATCACTGGTTTCTTTGAACTCAAGTCTTCTATTTGCTTTCGCCACGCGGTCATTAATCCCAGGCAGTGAATTACACCATCTGCTTTTCCACGGGCTCCTTAGATATAGACCCCATTCCACTAGAGGCCGAGTGGTGAACTAAGTACTTCACATACATTTAAATACAACATCCCATTTAATTCTCATCATGATCTATGAAATAGGTAAAGGAGATCACTGGGAAGCTGTGTACATTTTGGGACCTGAGAGCTTATTGTCTCATCTATTAGAACCGCCTGACAATTACATTGGGATACGAGGGGACACCCTCTCCACAGCTTCTCTTTGATCTAAAAGCAGCGTGGTCATGCTATTTTTATAAGAGGGGGGGAAACAGCAACACAAATAAAAGAACATCTAAAAAGGAAACAAAGTCTGCGTTCCAGAAATGCTCAAAATAACTTTCACATGATCTCATGTAAAGATAGATCAACACATATCCTTCATGATACATATAAAATTCACAATGAATTATTCACTCTTATATATTTATAATACATACATAACTGTATAAACAGTCGCGGAAATACTGGTGAGTGAAAAGGTTTTGTTGCCAGCAGGTTACCCAAGGTAAGTATCGAAATGATTCAAATTCAGGAAGAGATTTTGCGAACCACTGAGTGTTCTTTACAACAGAAATCTTGAACTGCAAAGACTACGAAAAACGCGTTAGAGCAACAGACACCAACAACTGACATTTCGATACCGACCTTGCTCATACCCGCTTCCCGGGTCGGGGAAGCGTTTCCTTCGTGACACCCTGTGGGACGGGGCGGTGGGGCCCGTGGGGCTCTGTGAGGCCTGCTCACGGCCCGTGTACCCCCCCCCACCTCCCCCCCCAGCCGCTGCCTAGCTCCGGGCACCTGCCCTCCATTTCCCCCCACTGAGGGTGCTCACCCCACTTTAGACACAGAAGTTCAAAGAGAAAGTGGGAGCCAGTACACACTACTGCCCCAAATCAAAACACTTCCGTAGTTTGCAATTCCTGGGAGAATTCAGTCCCTGCGGAAGCACACTGGATTAAGACCCGGTCTTCAGTTTACACACACAGAAGCACGTATACTCGTGCACATACGCTACGTTTACTCCCACGTTTGTCTCTGGGTTCTCACTTCCACTCCCTGCCTTCGTTCCACTTCGAGAAAAAGCATGGTATTCTGGTTGCAGACATTCTCCTCCTTGATGTCAATAGTTTTAAACTCACATGACTAGTACCTAATGGGGCTCCCTGGAATTTCTTTTTTGTTTCACTCTCCCTGCTTTAGATAACGCTATTACACCCCCTGCTTCCCAAGACGGTGGCGCATTTTCACAGCAGCAAGAACAGCCCATCAGCCTTTCTGGGATGCTCTGAGTTCGTGGCAATGGCACCCATTCTCTGAATTGAGGGCAATATTAGCAAGGGAGCAAGCCAGGATCTCTCTGTGGTCTAAAAGAATGACTTTTCTTCCTTTTTTCTTAATCAAAGGAACTAAAATAGGTCTTACAACTCTACTTCTCTGCTATACAAGTTGAGGGTATTTACAAGAAGATGACGCAGTTTACTACCTACGTCTTGATTAGAAAAAAGTACACAGCTGACCCTTGAACAACGTGGTTTAAACTGCACGGGTCCACTTACGTGGGGATATTTTTTACAGTACGGTGTTGCAGTGTATTTCCTCTTCCTTGTGATTTTAACATTTTCTTTTCTCTAGCTTTATTGTAAGGACACATACGACATTCAGAACACGTGTTACTCAAAATCAAGTCTTTACGTTATCGGCCAGGCTTCCCGGTCAACCACGGGCTATCTATCAGTAGTTAAGTTTAGGGGGCACCAAAAGTTATACGTGGATTTTTGACCACGTGGAGGGTCCATGTCCCTAACCCCCCACGTTGTTCAAGGGTCAACCGTAATGAAATGCACTTAAATGGGTTCATGCGTCTTCTGACGTTTTACTTCCATCATCTGAAAAAGGAGAAGTATTTTCAGTACTGAGTTACTAAACAGCTAACTGTCCACAGTCTCTGGGGCAGACTCATTTGCTCAGAGAACTGCTACTTTTTAAAGATACGACCTTTCAATGGTCAAGTAACACGAGCAGGCTATAGGAAGATAAAGCTGAACAGGAATCACACTCCATACGTGACGATTACTTGTCCTGTGCCCTCTCTGCCCCATCTGGGCACTGCCACCGGCGGCTGGCACCTGGGAGGAGGGGGCCGGGGCGCGTCCCGGCCCTACTGAGGACTCAGGTGTGCCCGGGCTTAGCGTCCTCCTCGCACCCACAAGGAGTCAGCTGAGTAATGAGGAAAACAATTCTGTGTGTTTCGATTCACGTTCTAAGGAGGAAAAACACCCTGGGAAAGATGAGAAAAGCTGGAGAAACAGGAGTAAATACACCGTGTCTTGTGCTTACGTTTCAAACAGACCAAAGCCGGCAGCTGCCTGCAACAGTGGGCCTGAAGTTCAAAACACCGCCGATTTAACAGCCCCCGTGCTGCACAAATGGTTCCTGCCTCGCGGACAGTTTTGTAGCCTTCGGCCTACAGCAGAATTACCCCCCCACCCCGCCCCAAAATAATACCAGTAATAACAAAGTACTCCAGTTGGTTTTCTGGCTTTCACTTTCATCCAGTTTCACGATGAGAATACGGACAAGGCGTTTCATTCGCCATCTCCCTTAACCTGGCAAGGACATGATGAAAGATCTCTAGCAGGAATGACTATACATATACTTTTGTTTCCAAAGCCAGTGGGTTGTGGTGGTTTTGTCCTCGCATCATTCTGCTACACTACAATCTCCTGGTAAGAGCTGACAGTTAAATGAGAAAGTTTACAGAAAGGCAGAGGGTCAGCACATGCAACCTACTGAGAGAATAATTACGGGAGAAAGGGTTGATCACGCTAAAATGCAAACTGGGACAGGACTAAGCCGGCCGCAAGTGAAATTAAGCGCTTAGGAGAACAGGACCAAGCAAGAGTCAGGAGTCTACAGCGAGTAATGTGTTGGGCGGGCGAGGGCACTGAGGTGGGCTCCACGGTTTCCAGAAGTGGCTGCCTGAAGCACAGCATGTCTAGGAACGAGGGCTGGCCGGGGCTGCTCAAGAAAATTTAATATACTCGGTATGTTGTGCTAATGATGCCCAGAAACTAAACTGAATCGGCAAGCCCTTGCAAATGCAGGTCACTGCACAAAAGTCACCTCTATCTGCTGGCCTGGCTAGAAGCCAAGAGTCCATTCTCATATAATTCTTATGGTCTCTGCCACCGTAAAACGCTTCTGTACCTTCGGTTATCAGTGTGACAAAGCGGAAAGAACGATGAGCCAGCTAGAACGCAATCTCGTCTTGAGTGCCCCTCCTGCCACTCACTGGGCATTTGTTTCCCCAACTGTAAAACAGACGGGTTGACCACGGGACCTGTAACATTCTCGGATTCTAATGCTGGTGTCAATTCTACCGATTAAGAGGTTACTACGGTAAGCACTTCCAGTCTGCACTTGGCTCAATTCGGTCGCGGCTTCACGGGGAGGTGAAGCAGTGACATTCCAATACATTTGAGTATCAATTATTAAAAC